TCAACTTCAACCTTCAGATCATGTAGGAGATTCAGAAGCCAAACTGCTTGACAAGCAGCTACAGCACCTGCGATATACTCAGCTTCACATGTTGACAGGGCCACGACAGGCTGTTTCTTGGAATTCCAGGAAATGAGACCTCCCAAAAATTTAAACAAGTATCCAAAAGTACTTCTCCTGTCCACTCTATCTCCGCACCAGTCAGAATCATAATAACTTACTAATTCTGATTCTGTCTTTCTTTCAGAAGGAAACAACACTCCATATCTCAGAGTTCCCTTGATATATCTTAGAATTCTTACAGCAGCTTGGAAATGAGACCACTTTGGATTACTCATGAATATACTAACCAATCCAACTGCATAACAAATGTCAGGTCTAGTATTACATAAATACCTTAGAGAACCAACCAACTGTTTGAAGGTTGTTGAATCAACAGAATCACCATCAGAGTCAGAATCCAATTTTTGATTGGTTTCTGATGGTGTCACAGCAACTTTGCAATTCTGCAGCTTAAATCTCTTCAGAAGTTCTTGTTCATATTTTAATTGATGCAGAATGATACCCTTCTTCGAGTACAGAATCTCCATCCCTAGGAAATATGTCATTTTTCCTAGATCTGTCATCTCGAACTCATTCATCAGAACTTCTTTGAACTTCTTTATATCTTCTGGGAAGCTACCTGTTAGCAAAATGTCATCAACATAGAGACACACCAGAATCATATTGTTATCAGAGTGTTGTATATAAACTCCATATTCCATCTCACATTTTTGAAACCTCTGCTTCTTGAAAAACGAATCAATTTTCAGATTCCAAGCTCTAGGCGCTTGCTTCAGTCCATACAGAGCTTTATTTAACCTGTATACCATCCCTTCCTGATTCTTTTTCAAAAATCCAGGAGGTTGTGACACATAAACTTCTTCCTGTAATGGACCGTTCAGAAATGCAGACTTCACATCCAGATGCATTAAAGGCCAATTTTTGTTTGCAGCTAAAGCAATCACCAATCTGATTGTTTCATGCCTAGCTACAGGCGCAAACACCTCAAAGTAATCTAGCCCAAGTTTATGAAGAAAACCTCTAGCTACTAGTCTAGCTTTGTGCTTGCCAATTGAACCATCTGGCTTAGGTTTCAACTTAAAAACCCATCTGACGCTGATGGCTTTTTTCTTATCTGAAAGTTTAGTCAATTTCCAAGTTTTGTTCCTTTCTATTGCCTCAAGTTCTTCTTTCGTAGCATTAAGCCATTCTTTCTTCTTGAGAGCTTCTTCAATGCCCACTGGTTCAGAATCTACTAACATGGTACACTGAACGACTTCTCCTTCAGAGTCAACTTCATTATCCTGCAACATGTCAAAATCTGCAAACCTTCTTGGTTTTTGTCTGATTCTCTGTGGTCTTTGAGCTTGTTCTGAAGCTGCACCGGAACTACTACTTTCAGAGTTACCACCTTCAGAATTTTCCCTTCCAGAACTATGACCACCACCAGATTTTGGATTATCATCAGCATCTGGATCAGAATCAGATCCATTTCCTGAATCTTCTTCTGACTCATCTTCAGAATCTTCAGGATCAGATTCATCTTCTGAACTTTCTAAAACATCTTCAGAGGCTAACTCTGGTGTTGGTATTACACCAGAATCTGATTGAGATTTGTTCCAATCCCATGCTTCAGACTCTTTCACCATAATGTCTCTGTTGACTTCAACTTTATTAGTTTCTGGACAATAAAAATTATACGCACCTATATTGTGGTACCCCACCAGCAACATTACTTTGCTTCTATCATCCAGTTTTTGTCTTCTAGCTTCTGGAACGTGTTTGTAACAGACAGAGCCAAACACCTTCAGATGACTGACACTCTGCTTATCTCCGGTCCATTTCTCTAAAGGAACAGCTTCCTTCAGTTTCTTCGTTGGATACCTGTTCAGAATATATGCTGATGTGGCAACAACTTCTCCCCATAGCACGTGAGGTAGCTTTTTCTCTTTCAGTATGCTTCTGGTCATATCAAGCAAAGTTCTGTTTCTTCTTTCAGCAAGACCGTTGTGCTGAGGAGTATATGGAGCAGTAACCTCATGTTCTATTCCATTCTCCTCACAGAACTTCTGAAACACTGTAGAGTTATACTCACCTCCACCATTTGTTCTCATAATTTTTAACTTCTGACCACTCTGATTCTCAGCCTTCACTTTGAATTTCTGGAACTCAGTAAACATTTCATGTTTGAACTTGATGAGTGTTACCCATGTCATTCTTGTGAACTCATCCATAAAAGACACAAAATAATTATTTCCTCCAAGTGAAGGTACTGGAAATGGTCCACACACATCAGAATGTACTACTTCTAGAGCATGCTTCGCTCTGGGGCTACTTCTGATGTAAATGGCAATCTAGGTTGCTTGCCTTTCATGCATATCTCACATGACTTCTCAGGCTTCACAATCTTCGAAATACCATGTACAAGCTTCTTAGAACATAGATGCCCTAAGCTTCTATAGTTCAAATGCCCCAGCCTCTTATGCCACAGCTTACTGTTACCTTCAGTGACTTCTGCACTAAGACACGTTGCTTCAGCTGTTTCTACATATACCTTGAATGTTCTGTTGCCTCCTTGTTCAGACTTCATAATCAACTTCTGATTGGAATCATACAATGTCAGAAGATTGTTTTTCATAACAACTGAGAAACCTTTCTCAATCAGTTGTCCTATGCTCATCAGATTTCTTCTAATACTAAGAACATACCAAACGTCTTTGATCATAATGTATTTCCCATTCTTCACTCTAACTCTGACATCTTCCATACCTTCTACATTAAGATACTTATCGTCAGCACATCTGATCTTTGTTCTCCTTCTGGAGTCAAAGTCTGTCAGCCATTATTTGTTTCCAGTTAAATGATTTGAACAGACAGTGTCCATATACCACCAATCTTCTGAGCATTTTCCATCAGAGTCAGAAGCCATTAGTAGTACAGGTTCATCATCAGAGTTTCTCTTGGCCATATATGCTTCTTCTGATTTCCTTTCCTTGTTTGACCTACAATCTCTGGCAAAATGACCAAATTGTTTACAAGAGTAACATTGAACCTTTCTTTTGTCATACCTATCCTTTCCTTTATGATATTTCTTGTCATCAGAAGTTGAGGCTTCTGACTTCTGAAATCTATCACCACGTCTATTCTGCTTCTGGTCTTTCTTGACAAAAGAAGCCTTCAGAGCTTGCTCAGCTTCCCTCTCAAAAGTTCTCTCAGACAGGCGTAACTCATGTGCTTCTAAGCTGCTTTGCAATTCTTCTATTCTCATAGTTTCCAGATTTTTAGAATGTTCAATATAAACAACAATGTAATCAAACTGAGGAGTAAGCGACCTCAGAGTCTTCTCTATGATTACCTGTTCAAACAGAGTTTCTCCACACGCCTTCATCTCGTTAGTGATCAGAATCACTCTGGAGATATATTCAGAAACTTTCTCACTGCTCTTCATGTTCAGGTTCTCATATTGCTTTCGTAGAGATTGAAGTTTCACCTTCTTTACTGATGCGTCACCACTGTAACATCTCACCAGTAAATCCCACGCCCCTTTTGACGTTGTTGAATCAACAATCTTCTCGAACACACTTTCATCCACACACTGATGGATATAGAACAGAGCTTTCAGGTCCCTCTTCCTCATCATCCTCTCAGCAGTTCTCTGTTCTTCAGTTGCATCTGCTGCAGTTGGTACATAACCATCTGTAACCAGATCCAGAACATCTTGCGCACCAAACAGCACACGCATTTGTATCATCTATTTGTTCCAGTTTTTGCCATTAAAAACTGGAAGTTTGGTGTTCAAACTAATGTCTCCACTCATTTTCAACCTTGCACGGATTTTTCAAATCTTCAAACACACTATTTCTCAACCCACAGAATCAGATTTCGTTCAAGATTTCAACAGAAAATCAGTGAACCAAAATCAAACACACAGCTCACAAGCACCCGTGTTTCTCAGGAAAACATAACCAAGAGCTCTAGATACCAATTTGTTGGTGCAAGGTAATGAAAGGGGAGAAGAAGAATGAGCAATGAATGATAACAAAGAGGACTACTATTGTATATCAAATAGATGAATGAATGAGTTACAATATTGATAGCCTAGGTAGCATATTTATACTAAAATTGAAAATGCCAAAAAACCCTAATAAAGAATAAGCATTGAAAATTGTAGACATTAACTAAATTATATTTCCAATAATATCACTAAATTATTAAATAGATAACAACAATAAATCAACAACTTCAAAAAAAAACTTAGATAACAAAATTTAGATAAGATATACATTTATAAATTTTGCAAAAAATAAATAAATATAGAAATAACTTCTCTATTACAGTATATCATCGGTATAACTTCTCCACTACAGTATAACACTTATACATTTATAAGTTCCGTATCAAATATAACATTTATAAATATAGAAATAACTTCTCCACTACAGTATAACACTTATACATTTATAAGTTCCGTATCAAATATAACATTTATAAATATAGAAATAACTTCTCCACTACGGTATACATTTATACATTTCTAAATCTATACTATGACCTCCCAAAAACATATACTCTAGCTCCACCACTCTTGACAATTACTTAAAAAATGTTTGAAAGTATAACAATGATTGAGATACGAATTTAACCAATGAAATAAGAATTTAATAAATACACTAGGATAAAAAAAGTGTTTCTGAATAAGGTTTCTTCCATAAATCACAATACAAATTAAAATTAGAATGGAAATGACAAACTTGATTTTATAACTGATATCAAATATTCACTCGTCCTTATAAAGATCCACCTCAGTCTAGTTTATTTTTTCACATAAGAATTCAAGTGAAATGCAGCTTGTAGTACATGCCAAAGATTCAATAGCTTTTGGACTTCAATAAATATAGTAATGAATAAGTGTTTTTTTCCAATTAAATATTGAATTCTATCAGAGCAGTAGAGGTTTGATGACACATCAAAGAAGATATGCAAGTGAAAGTCTCAAGAGATTTGAGATGGAAGAATGCAATTTGACTTCGACACCTGCAGAACCAAGACTGCAACTGTCAAAAAATACAGATGAAGATGATATCGACCCAACCCAATACAAAAGACTTGTTGGGTCATTGAAATACATTTGTTATACAAGACCTGACTTAGCATACAATGTAGGTATAATAAGTAGATTCATGCAGAAGTCAAAGGTATCACATCTAGCAGCGGCAAAGAGGATACTAATATATCTCAAAGAAACTCTCGACTATGGTATTTTGTTTCCTGCAGCTAATAAAGAAAAAGAATGCAAGTTAGTAGGGTACATTGATTCAAGTTGGTGTAGTGATGCTGAGGATCGAAAGTCTACGGTAGGTTATGTGTTTATGTTAGGTGGTGCATCAATTGCTTGGAGTTCGAGAAAAGAATCAGTAGTAGCATTATCATCATGCGAAGCAGGGTAGATAGTTGCTTCTCTTTGTGCATGTCAAGCAACATGGATGGTGAACTTGGTCGAAAAGATAACATGAAAAGATCATGGAGCAATTACCATAAAGATCGACAGCATGTCAACCATCAACCTGGTGAAGAACCTGATAGCACACGGTTGAAGAAAGCACATTGAAATGAGGTTCCACTATCTTTGAGAGCAGGTAGCAGATGGGAAGATGAACTTGGAACACTACAGAACTGAGAATCAGATTGGAGACATCATGACAAAGGGTGTGCAGGTTGAAGTATTTCAAAGACTAAGAGCTATGATGAATGTAGATAGCTTAGACACAATAAATTAGGTGGTGTGTTAAATTGTAATTCCTTGTGTTGAAGAAGTTTTCTTGACAGAGACAAGGGAGTGTCGAAAAGATTTGATTTGATTTAGAAGTGTGGAAACAATTTGTTACACACATATTTGTTTTAGATTTAGTTTTAATTTAGATCTAAAATAGATAGATTTGATTAAGTTCCAAAATAGGATTTTGGGCTTTTATAGTTTTGGACTTTGACTTAGGGAGCAAGCTAACCTAAATCTATAAATAAGGAGTAACCCCTATTTTGTAATCAACTCATTCATTCACAGTATTTGCAGTTGCAAGTGAATAATAAAGTTTTCCATAGTTTGTGGACAGAGAGTTACTCTGCAGAAAATAATTGTCTTCTTTCTTTTCTTTTCATATAATTAATTGTCATTGTGTGGTGATATCAATCTTGTTCATCAAGATTGGTAGAAATGCATCATAGATTTTGATAGATTTCCAACATAAGTGATCAACCATGGAATAGAAAAAGTGCAGATCAAGAAATAGACATACCCACATGCCCATTAAGAGACATTTTACAGAGCATTCCGGTTTGATAAAACATTTATGTACCAATTTCTCCATTCACTAATTCCATGTAGATTTGAAAAGTTTGAAAATGAGCTTCATGACTAATTCATGTACCATGACTTCGTGAGTTTTCTGTAAAATATTAAAACAAATGGAAACTATCATGATTTAGGAAGAGAATAAAAGTGATCCACAAATACCAACTAGCAGTATAGCAGATCAAGAAATAGACATACCCACATGCCCATTGAGAGACATTTTCCACAGCAATTTGGTTTGATAAAACATTTATGTACCAATTCATCCATTCACTAATTCCCTGTAGATTTGAAAAGTTTGAAAATGAGCTTCATGACTAATTCATGTACCATGACTTCATGAATTTTCTGTAAAATATTAAAATAGATGAAAACTATCATGATTTAGGAAGAGAACAAAAGTGATGAACAAATACCAAATAGCAGTATAGCAGATCAAGAAATAGACATATCCACATGCCCATTGAGAGACATTTTTCATAGCATTCCGGTTTGATAAAACATTTATGTACCAATTCATCCATTCACTAATTCCCTACATATTTGAAAAGTTTGAAAATGAGCTTCATGATTAATTCATGTACCATGACTTCATGAATTTTCTGTAAAATATTAAAACAGGTGGAAACTATCATGATTTAGGAAGAGAACGAAAGTTGTCAACAAATACCAAATAGTAGTTTGAGTTTAAAAAATAGAAAGTCATCACAAAATCGTAACAAACCTGCAGATACTCCTAAATCACATTGTTGTTATTCCCTAACTGGATGATTTTGATAGATATCCAGGTCAAGTGACTTAATGACATATGATTCCTATCTTGGGTGTTGTTTTATCCTCAGTTGGTGATGTCGGCTGAAAGAAAAGAGAAGCGGCGTGGAAATAGCACCATATCCCATACTCGAAACATGTCCAACAATAACACGCAGAATTCATATACACTGACACAAACCCCAGACACGATATTGACACTAACATGTTAATATTGACACGATGTCAAGAAAACAAAAGTAGGCTACATATTTGAAAAGTTTGAAAATGAGCTTCATGATTAATTCATGTAGCATGACTTCATGAATTTTCTGTAAAATATTAAAACAGGTGGAAACTATCATGATTTAGGAAGAGAACGAAAGTTATCAACAAATACCAAATAGTAGTTTGAGTTTAAAAAATAGAAAGTCATCACAAAATCGTAACAAACCTGCAGATACTCCTAAATCACATTGTTGTTATTCCCTAACTGGATGATTTTGATAGATATCCAGGTCAAGTGACTTAATGACATATGATTCCTATCTTGGGTGTTGTTTTATCCTCAGTTGGTGATGTCGGCCGAAAGAAAAGAGAAGCGGCGTGGAAATAGCACCATATCCCATACTCGAAACATGTCCAACAATAACACGTAGAATTCATATACACTGACACAAACCCCAGACACGATATTGACACTAACATGTTAATATTGACACGATGTCAAGAAAACAAAAGTAGGCCAGCATGACAATGACAAGAATCGGGGCATCCTGCCAAACCCTATAAAACTTCTGCATTAGTTTTACCAAGATTAATTTATCTATTTACTTACGAATTATTGAACCATAAAACCATTATTGAATAATCTCAAAATTTTCCCTCCAAATAAGTAATGAACCAAGGTTTCCTGCTTTTAGAGACGTCAACATAACAATAATCTGATGAACCAAATATCTTAGTTAGTCAGCCACCAAAGACAACCTAAGTTTATGCAATTGGAACACACATTAGATAAAGGCCAAATCTCAGGATGAGTAGTCAAATCTTTAACAACTCTATCCATAGGCGTTTCGTTACAAACTTTGCAATTTATACGGTAGATACAACTTAATTCGGTGAAATGCACTTCGCCAATAAACATAAAAGTCAATATTATAGATAACCTGATCAATTGGACAACAAAGGTTGACAACACTTGTAGTGAGACAGTATCCATGATCAATTGGAATCAAAACAGCCTGTATAGCAAAAGTTCTATGGACAATTTTGTCTGATGCCATCTATATGCCTACATGTGTTTACAACTCAGTTATTACAATCTTGCACTTTTGGCTGAAACGTTCGGCTTTTCATCAATAAAAAAGTCGACCAAGTAGGTTTCAGATTCCATACCTGTAGTATGCCAACTTCTGGGAGAGAAAACTCTATGAGTTAAGCTTTGTCAACACAAGATTTTGCATCAAGAAAGGAATTAACATATGTATAAATGGTTTCTAAATCCTGCCATGCTTCCCTTTCCAACTTATGTTCCGATAATTCCTGCAAAGATATGAAAAGCAATAGAAATTCTTAATACTTCAAAATTATCCATAATAAAAAATTCCAAATCTTTTATCATCACCCGACAAAAAGCCCATACCACAATAAATACAATTATCAGATAAAACAACCAAAAAAGTAAGTGAAATAACTAAACAACAAAAATGAAAAAAAAAACTAAAACTAAATCACATAAAACAACACTTACCTAGTAGAGATGGAAATACATCCATACGGATAGTCAAATCACGGAACAAATTATAACAACCAACCAAACAACAACCACAACAAAAAGTTAGAACTATAACAAAAGAAGTTAGAAAATAGAAAGTGTATAAATAAAATTACACACCTTTACACCTTCAGCTCACAGATCTGAAAAATGCATCCAAATGAATGAATCACAACAATAAAAAAGTCATAAATCAAATAAACCACAAAACTTAGAAAACTGTAAATCTAAAACTGAATCAAACACCATCGAGTAAGACGTAGTAGAGCCACAACAATAGCAAACAAATCAGTATTCAAAGAAGTTGGATCTAGACGAAGGAAGAAGTTGGATCTGGTTTGAAATGATGTTCTGTAAAAAAAAGTTCGAAAACAACAAAACATATAAGAAATTTGGAAACCGGAAAAAATGTGGTAAGGTAACTAAAACAACAACTACATATTTCATTTTCATATGAAAAAATTACAACAACAACAACTTTCATTTTCGTAAAAAAACATTAAGGTCATGAAAACGTTTCATGGTCGTGTGTGAAGAAGAATATGTCATTAAGGAGACGAGAAAATACATGGAATTATTAACTTACTTGAGTGGCTTGAGTGAGTTGAAGAAGATGGTGTCGGTAAAGAGACAAGAGAGATGGAATAATTTCTCTGCGGAGAGAGAAATTGTTGTGAGAAATTAAAATGGTAAAGGGAATATGAAAAAGTAGTGGAAAAACTATTACACAGACAATAGTCTTTTACCCGGGTAAATGATTGAATCGAAGAAATTTGAAAAAAAGAGTGACACTTGGTATAATGGAAAAATTTTATTGGTTAGTGGTATTGTATTTATTGAATTACCATTAAGGGCTTTGTCTAGTGAAATTATTTTTTGAAGAAAGGGTAAGAATGGAAGTGCATAAGCATCTTCCATTCTTAGTTAGGTAGTAGATCTGTCACTTTAATTCACTTTTTACCCATTAGATATCATTAAGTTATTAAATTTTTCATGTCATTGTTTTGGAGCTTGTTTTAGACCATACAGAAACTTACCACATGAATGTGATTCGATTCAGTGCGACCACTATTTCTCGATTTAAACGAAAATTTGTTATCATATATATCAACATTATTTGATTCTATGATCACTTTATAATTTATGTCATAAAACCTATGTGCCTTACTGTTTTTTACATACCTAATGAATACACATTTATAGGCTCTACTAATTCTCTTTGAATTCGGGATCTTGATATAAGCCAGAAATCCCCAAGTTCTATAATAAGACAAGTTTAGTTTTTTTCTTCAATATCTCATAAGAAGAGATCTTAGTTTTAGACTGGGGAATTCTATTCAGGATATAGCAAACACTCAATAAAATTCCCCTCCCAATCAAATAGATGCAACACCAGAATTAAACTTAATAGAAACGACTAGTTCAATGAGAGTTATAAGCTTTCTTTCTACTTTATCATTTATTTCAGGAGAATATGGTGCAATGGTTTCATGTTTTATTTTGTTTATCAAATTCATTAAATAAATTGGAATCATATTTTATCCTCTATCACTATGAATCCTCTTAATTTTATTACTAAATTAATTTCCGATTTCATTTACAAAAGTCTTAAACATCTATATTTCATTCACAAAAATATCATTCTTAATGATGGTGAACAAATATACCCCCAATAGACTGACTAAACTCTTTCTTATTCACAAGAAACCTAAAAACTAGATTCTTTATAATCTCTAAAGTATGCACAACATCCTTCAAGATTAATGTCTTTCAAAGGAGGACTTAAGCTTCATTTCTCCATTAGCGAAAACATTAGTCGTGTGGATAACACCCAATAACACTTTCTTATTCTTATTATTCGTGTATGTTTTGAACATATCATGATCATAATAGACATGACAATAGGCGCCAGTGTCTATCTATCAACCATCAGATCCACCAATCATGTTAACTTTAGAGATCATAACATTAAATTACTCATCATCCAGGTTAACTTATGCGTTAGAGTCAATGGCAGGCATAGGCATGCTCTTACACGTCTAAGCCATATAACCTGGTTTTCCAAAGTTAAAGCAAGTGGAAATATGAGCATCATTTCTTAAAGCAAGTGGACAAATTGGGGCCCTTGAAAGGTTCTCGTTCTTAACTTGGTTCTTAATATTTTGGTTGTGATTCTTTAATGATTTTCTCAATGGCTTTAGAACCACAGCAGATTTCTTAAAACAACCAAGACTTTTTCTTTTTCATCTTATCTCTAAGAATCTTCTTCAATTCAAAGACGAATAATCAAACTCTCAATTGAAAATTCTTTTATTTTGTGACAAAGAAATTTTTTAAACATCTTTCAAACTAGGGGTAATTAGTCATTAATAAAAGTAACTTGAAATTGTTCATCCATAGACATACCTTTATTGATGATCTCGTGAGCTATTTTTTGAAGCCGGTGACTGTGAGCTTCCACAAACCTCTCATCTACCATTTGATACTTAAGCTACTGATATCTAACAACATACTTATTTTTTATAGCTTCTTCGGTGTCATACTTCTTTTTCAGGGCCTCCCAATACTATTTGTATTGTCGTAGTTACTGTAATAATCATACAAATCATTTGTGAGTCCATTCAAAATGTGGTTTTTCTAGAGAGTCATTCTCTTTCCATAAGGTTATTTCTTCCATTAACTAACGATCGTTCACTTTAATATGTGCAACATATTTAGGTTCAGTAGAATTAATAACACCATTTGAATCCACAAATTTCTTATTGTTAGATTGTTTGGTTGATCCATATGGAGCGGTAGAAATGTCTGTTGCACTCTAAAATTTTCCCTCCTATCTTTTTATACAACTTATGTTTAGCACTTCATATGCATGCTTTCTATTAGGTCATTTGCATAATCATGCACTCATTTAATAAAACATCTTTTGTTCAAAAGATCAGCAATATTAGGGTGTCCAGTGGTTTCCAATAAATTATGTTTCTTTTGTTTCTTCTTCAAGCAGTGAGTTGTGATATGATGGTTATGAGGTATGGTTATCAGGAATCTCTTCTTTAAGGGCTATTATCCATCCAATTTTATCAATGCAAGAGATTAGGGTTTATTTCCCTACACTGGGTCAAGAGAATCAGGATTTTTATTCATTGTCTTTAAGCAGTGGCTTTAGTTCTTCTATTGAGGCTCGGGGGATTAAGGTTGGTTTGTTGGTGCTAGGATTCACAACTGAGGTTATTTTGAATCAGAGGTTGGTTTCTTTTCAACATATCAAGTTGTCTTCTCTCTCATTGTGTATCTAATGCAAGTAGATTAGGGTTTTGATCTTTGTGCTTCGATTGAGGTTCATTGGATTTTCATTTCAAGGTCATCTTGGTTATGTTTCTTCCATGCCTTTCCATATTCATCTTCAAGGTTTCTCCAAGATATTCTTTTGTTTTGAGATAATTTGGTCATTGAGGATTGATGATTGAATTACGAAAGCATGAAGCATGATACAAGATATGAAGCAAGGAATTCATTATGATCAAGGTTTGGTTGTTCTCAATTGTTTGTTGCTTGCAAATACAAGTTGGTTTGGAATTTAGGTGTAGGTTTCATTGAGAATTGAAGTAAGATTCATTCATGCAAAGGACCATTTAATTAAGGTTTTAAGCATGCTGAGTTTGAATATTCATTTGGGTTTCTTGAAATGCAAGTAAAAAAAAGGCATACATGTTCAAGGTTATTCGAGTATACTAACTCATCAAAGTTCATGTTAAATTTAAAGAAACATCACTTTATCATTCTTATGATCATTCGAGTTTCCCTCAAATTCATTCATTATCATGCCAAGGACAAATTTGATTAAAATTCACTTGGGTTCAGGCTCATTGCAAGATGGAATTCTAACCATCAAAGGCAATTACATCATGAACAATTACAAAAGGAATTTTCAAATTGAAGCAAAGTGGAGGGAAAAAGATACATTCAAATTTCCTTTGAAGAAAAGAATTCAACACATTTGCAAAGCTATGTCATTACAAGTTCATCAAAATCCATTCAAACATCCGCATCATGTTCATCACAAGCTCTTTACAAAAATAAATGATATCATGTTATATGATACATTACATCACCATGGAAAATTACACAAAATGTTCCTAAATCATATCTCTCCATCTTCAACCTTTCTCCATTCATGACAAAGCTTTCAAACTCCAAGTTCTTTGCCATCTCCATCATGCGTTGACACAATGTTGCTACCATGCTTCAATCCTCACTAACAAAACCATACAAATCATAAAACAGCGCTGCACTCGATCTTAACCATAACCCTGTCCAAGTAAACAAAGAAAACCAAAATGTTCAAAATAAATAGCAGCCTTGCATAACAATTTCATCATCATCATTGTTCTCATGATTCAGCAACGGAATCGCAACACAAATGCCAGAAGAACCCGAACCTGAGAAATCAAGAAGAAGGCGGAGCTTAATGAATCTAAAGCAAAACGAAGCTATATGAGAAGAAGTAAAAGCAAGGGGGAGCGATATTGAAGGCGAACTCAGCATCGGCGAAGCTCTCAACCGCAGAGATGCAAAGTTGAGATATGAGCGGAACAGACGGAATCGCAGCGGAGGGAGTTGAAAGATTCGCCGTGGAGAGAAAAATTGAGACGAATAAGTGATAAACGACGATGTGTGTTGATGGACGATGAGGAGCGGTGACTTTGAATCGGATCGGAGAGGAGGTCGACGGCCGTGGCGGTTGTGCGACGAAAAGAAGTTTTCTGTTACGGTTTTCACGATGAATTTAAATAATCACATGTTTCTAACCCTAATTTCTCACAAACACGTTATGCATTTTATTTTGCATTATTTTCTTTATTTTGTCTTATTTTAATTTAATAAATAATTATCAAATAAACAAAAGCTGATGGTGATTTGGTTGTTGGATTGGGCTGACCGAACCACTCTCTTGGCCTGATACAAATTTTCTGATACCATTGCCTTGAACAAACAAAAAATAGTTATATGGGCTTTTGGTAATTGGATGTTGCTAACCATTGTTGCTGCAGCATACCCCTGGACATAGCTTGCACCTCCTGTTTCTTTTAATTTCTATTCTTCTTTAATTTTAGTCTTTAGTTTGTTATTGTCAATATTTTGTGTGATATTTTGCTATTTTTGATTATTTGTTTCACATGATAAAATCATAAAAAATATTAATATTAGAATAGAATTTGTTTTCTTTAAGTTTATTTGATTATTTGAAACCCTAATTTCATCTGATACATCTCCTCCCTCTTCATCTTATCTCCTTCTTATTTGTGCTATATGTTGTTGGAGAATAATCAATATGTCATTTCTCTAACATGTGGTGCATAGATTGCTATTGATCGGTGTGATACGGTGGGAGAACTGACTTGGGTTTTGCGTTTGTATTCGCAAATGTTGCGGTTAGCAAGAGTCGCCACCGACTTTTTATTTTATCCTAAGGAAAGGTTAAAAAGCACAGCAAAAAACCTTTTGAGATGTTTTCTTGGGTTCGGGGAGTAGATTATAGAAAGGGAAGGTATTAGCACCCTTTCTATCCATGGTTATCCATGGGCTCTTAGTTACTTGCTTAGATCACTTGCCTTTGTTTTCAATTGTTTGAAATGGTGCTTTATGTGTGTGTTTGAAAGTGTTTTGAAAAGAGGCCAATGTGGTGGCAACCTTTGTAATGATCCATGTTGGGATGTATACAAAGGTGTATGTCTTTTGAAAAGTTTTCCATGTTTTTGAAAGTTGTTTTGAAAGTGATTTTGAAAGTGTAGTGAGGTGTGGTTTTGAAATTAGGCAAGTGTTTTGTTTTGCAAGTTTGATTCAAGTAACTAAGAGGTTGTCTACTCCTAAATTTCTCAAAAGACTATTGCTATGTTTTAACCCTTTTAACAAGTTTGTTCCACCATTGTATTTGGTGGACAATCTTGAATTAGGATGTGAAAGGGGACAGGCGCGGGTCATCGTTTAGACCATAATTGCAACGGCGTTAAATGTCTTTGGGCAATTTTCTTTAAGGGACTTGATCATTTGTTTTTGTTTGTTTTGAAAAGTTTTGTCGAGGGACTATGATCATTCAAATTGTTTGCTTTGCCCAAAGAAGTTCAACATACAATATGGCCCATTTATTTGAAGGCAACAAGTGGAATACCCTAGGGGTGCAAGTGTGAGATGTGTTGTTTATTTTCATGCTCATTTATCTTGTATTAGGTCAAACTATTTTTTTATCGTTTTTCCGCATACAAACCCTAATTCTAACATATTATCATTAGGAAGCAATAAAGTGCGAAATTAAAATTACTAAGCTATTACAAAACCAAATATGGGAAGGGGGGTACAAATGTTCAAATGGGGATATTGACAAGAATTTAAATCTAAATTATTACATCATTTTGAATATTTGCAATTAATCAATGTGCAAAAATTAAATAACAATGCAAGATGCAAAAGAAAGTGTTTTGTATATGTATGAGAAAAATATTATTTATGTAAAAGAGAAAAGAAAATAAAAAAAATATTATTTTTTGGAGTATTTTGATTTTAGGGCAAAAACCCTAATTTTAAAAGAAAAAGGCATTATTATCTATTTTAATACAAATATTTATTTATTATTTATAAAAATAAGATAAAATGAAGTATATTATAAAAAAGGTATTTTTGCATCAAATATTAATAAAAATAAAATTCAAGTATTTTCTTACATTTTTAACTTAAATATATTGATAAACATATATATATATATATATATATATATATATATATATATATATATATATATATATATATATATATATATATATATATATATATATATATATATATTAAATCTTAAATATGTATTATACACAAAATAAATATATATTTAATATTTTAATAAAATAAATAAAAAGAGTATTTTTTATATGAAATATTTTCAGAAGGTAAAAAATAATAAAAATGCATTTACACTATTTATATATTTATTCTAATAATAGTATATATATAATGTTTATGTATAAACAAAGGTAATAAACAAATAAACATGCAATAAATACAAAAAATGATGGAAAAAATATTTTCAAAATTTTAATGTGCTGGGAAAAAATAAACAAGTCAAACAAAAAAAGAAAAAGTCAAAAATGTTAAAAAATGAACAAATGGGCTCAGGGGGGTGAGAAAATGGAAATATGGTGCAAAAAGAAGAAACCACACAGGCCCAGCCCATGTAGCTTCATCTTCAACCTCAGAACACTTCCTTGTTCAAAAAACACGCGTTTTCTAACTCCTCATTCTTTGATCTTTTGCCAAATCTTTCAACATGAAACCTGTAGAGCTTGAAACCACGGTTCTAGACATATAAAGAAGTCAAGCTAACTCTCAGAAATGAGAGAGAATTTCTTCTCTCCCAAATCCTGACCTAATTTTTTAACCATGTTCAGACATAAAATTCTCTAAGCACACGAAATATAAATGAAATCTAAACATATGAGCATGTTCAGGGCTATGATTGTGACATATTTTCTTCACAAACCTAAAGCTAACAATGCCTAACAAGAGAGATAGAACTCCATGAATGTACCTGTTCAGTTGGAATCGTGCTTTGCAATGGAGGATGTTTCAGAGTAAAATGATGATTGGTATAGCTTCCTTGAAGTGTAAGGATGCTTTTCCAAGTCCTACTTTGCCTTGAAACTCCCTGAATCGAGCTAGTGAACTCCAACTGCAAAACAAAAAATTAAAAATGGTGAAGTGGCTTGGAGGTGTTACAGGTCAGGTTTTAGGACATGGTTAGCTTGCATATGTTGTAAGGAAGGTAGAGGAACAGGTTTGGACAAGAATGCTCGAAGGGATTGAGAGATAGCACTCAATCTGCAGGGGTTCCCCTGTTTGTGCAGTTTTGTGGTGTTTCTGAGATGGAGAGTGCTTGAGAGGCAAATGGCTCGTGCAAAAGCTTGGTTGGGTAGTTTGGAATGTGTTTGATAACTTCTCTCTTGTGTTTCTAAGCTGAGATTCAAGTTGTCACAAGTTATGCAATGTTACTTGAAAATGAAGCAAGCAAAGGTCACTTTGTGTTTTAGGTCAGTAGGGGCCTCTAATCCTGCTGCATCAGCCTCTCTTGATCAGAGCAATTTGCCCATAATCTTGTGCCAAAGGGATTTTGCTTGTACCTTCTTGGATTACAAATTGACATAAAGTTAATCTTTTTCAAAAATGGAAAGTTCACTTTATCTAGTTTAGGATTAATCCACTATGCAATGTTAGAACACAAAGAACATGGTCTTAACACATTGAATATGCATTAAATTATTGAGTATGGAATGGTTCAAGGACCTGTAATCAAGCATAAAGCAAGCTAAGTTCAGATTTGCAAAGTTATGAACATGTTCATGAACCATTCAAAAGTGGATTTTTGCCAACTTGTGAAATTCGAATCTCTCAAGTTATGAGGTTGTTTGATGAGTTCTTGGACATTTTGGAAAGCTTGGAAAGTGTACTACAATCCATCTTTGAAATGAAAATTAAAATTCCAAGTGGAAGGGCATGAAAAGTGGCCTTGAAGTGGGGTAGAAAACCTTGTCAAAATAGGTTAAAATTTCACTAAGTTAAAAATGGTTTAGTGCCCTTATTCAAAAAATTGTAACTTGAGATACAAGCTTCAAATGAGAAAACTTTGTGAATCAAAGTTGTAGATTATGCAACAAGCTACAACTTTCATGTTTTGACTTATGTTTGAATCCAAATGGATCTTGGTGAAAAGATGGGGCAAAGTTGGGAAAAAATTAGGGTTTTTCATAACTTAGAAAAATTCTAAGTTATGAAAAATCCCATTTTCAAACCCTAATTTGCATTTTGTGATTTCTTGGTGAACAAGTTTCATGATTTGGCATGTTTTGATGAAAAATGAATCTTGACTCTTGATTTTGACCAAAAAAGTCAAAGTTTGACTTTTCAGTATACAGTCAAAATTGATCAATTGACTGGGAAATTCAACTGTCAATCTTGTGTACTTGGGATCTTTTGAGCTTGATGAATGTGTCAAGATCATTTCATTGGGTCCTTGAGTCCCTATGTGAACTTGGTTTGCCATTGGCTAGGTCAAACAGTCAAAAATTGCCTTTGTGCAGTCAAAACCCTAAAAATGACCATTTTGCCCTTTTGGTGATCTGATCAAATTTCCTGT